AGTAAAGGACGAGTTGCTGCACTTGTACCTCCATCTAATCTATGTTAGAAGGATGAAAGCCTCTGGTGAGACCTAATAAGAAAACTACATGCAGACTCCTAGGGTTTGGAGCAAGGCCATATAATTCTACAGCAATGGAACAAGAGCTCCTGACTTCTGGGCTCAGGCTTCTGGGCCTGAGGAGAGATGAAGAGTCTGAACATGGGCTGTAAGGTGACTAGGTAGGCAGAACTGTTCATCATGACCTGGGTTCTATCACACCCACCAACAGAAGGTCAGGTGGAGGGCAGCATCCATCACAGATGGAAGTGACACATCCTGGATTAGACAAGGACAGGTGGCCAAGACCATGGGCACCTACCACTCCAGCCCTGTGACCTGCCACATAGCTCCCACCTGAATCACAGAAAGTTAACTCTGCCTAGTTAACAAAGAAGGAAGAGGGTCCATTCATTCCACCTTTATCCCAGCCCTCAATTTCTCCCTTACACACACACACACACACACACACACACACACTCCATTGGCCGCTCTCTTATCTGTCCCCAGGTTACTAGTCAGACTTACTCACTGACACTCAAATCCCCTCGGACTTGGCTAACTTGTTGACTCAGCTGAGGCACATCTTGGGCAATGGGGGTGAAATTTGGCTTTTCCTGGCTCTCCCAGGCCATGTGGAAACTGCTGCCCCAGACCACCCTTTGAGAGCCTGCTGCACACACCTCTACTTGTCAGACCTGGAGACTGGACACCTCTGTCCCTCAAGTTTGGTCCTCACCTCCAAGCCTGTTTTGCATTCCCCACCTTCTCCAGCCTCCGTTTCTGCCCCTTTTCTAGTCTAACTATCTTGCACTCTAACTCCCTTCCTCATTCAAATCTTTCAACTCCCTGTCCTCATGTTCTGCATTCATGGTGTCCCCTTCCTACAATCCCTCGTCGCTCTCCAAACTCCTAGCTCCCTACAAGATGCTCATCCCCTTTCTCCTCTTTGTTCCCTGTTTCATGTCTCCTGTCCCATGTTTTCTGTCAGCTTGTACACCTGGTGTTCCCTCGTGTTCCAATGTCAGGGCACGAATCAGAGTGTTTAAGAACCTTGTCCTTTCCCCTCCACCCTGTGTCTCACTCCTGATGTCCACCCAAGTCTAGGAGAATGGCACCCCCACCCCACCACACCAGCACCAGTGGTTCCTACCTCAACCATAGGTCTGCTCCTCACTCATATTTCTTTTTTTTCATTTTTCCTTCTCATTGTTTTTATTTTTATTTTTTATCTTTAAATTCTTTATTAGTTAAGGAATTACAAATGTGTCCTCATTCCCCTCTCCCATTAACCCCAATCCTCCCCCCCTTCCACTCATGCTCTCATCCCCCTGCTGTCCATGTCCATTGGTTTGGCTTATATGCATGCATACAAATCCTTTGGTTCATCTCTTCCCCTT